TGGCGCCCCCCCTGCCCCCTGCCCCTCCGATGCGACCATGGGAGGTGACGGCAACGAGGCCGCCTGTGGCAGGCGAGCGCTGCCTCACGCCGGCGCGCAGCAGGAGGAGGTAGGCGCCGTGTGCTGCGAGCAGGGGAAATGGGGGTGAAAAGGGAGAAAACATGACTAAAACCCCGCTCCTCATCAGGGTGCCTGAAATGTGCTAGCAGCTCTTTCTGTGCTACCGTAATTTTCACTGTGCTCACACTTAGTCCTTTTCTTCCATAAAAAAAATTAAATGAAAGAGACGCATTTGGGTAGAGAGGGGAGGTTGGCATAGCCCCGCATGTAGTTGGTAAGGGGGGTGTTTCAGATATTGTTAGAAGGGTGTTTTCGTTTTGTTTATTAGCATAAGTTTCATAAAACTCACAAAAGCAATTTTTTTTTTTTTAGTTTAGTTGTGGGAGAGTAGAGTTTTTGGATGGTCTTGTGACCTGGCACATTCATGACAGTAGAGGAAAGCGTAAAAGTACAGATTTCTCCACCACTAAGGCTAATTATCCAAAACACAAGCTTTCACTTGCCTATACTTGGGCTCAAAAATGTTAAATCACTTAATTCAAGTTAAAGCACGCTGCTCTGTCTGATTCAGAAAAGTATTACAATTTGATTTCTACTAAATTTGAAGGAACTGTGCTTTTTCATGGATGCACAATATTAGGCTTGAGATTAGAAATACAGTTTTGTTTTGTTTTTAAAGTCAATCATGATTATGCTGTGATTGTGAGGTGAGAGACTTAAAAAATATGGGTTTTTTTCCTCCATTAAAAGCCCACAAACCTGGCAGCTTCGAGTCAGTGTCATTCAGAACGGCACAGATCTTCACAAAGCTTTGGTTCAGTGCTGCTCCATGGGGGTATTTTGCCAACAAAATCCATTTTACCCAAAAGTGCTTTGAACCACGATGCCCATAACGTGCTAGATCTAGCAGCTTTGGCTGGCATTCAGCCAGGTTACGGAGGTTTATTTGCAGCTGTTCATTAGAGTCTCCTGCAGAGTGAGCAGACACCTTCCCAGGCTGCAGTGAATCTAGTCAGTCTGGAGATGCTGTGGGAGGAAGGAGGAGAATGGGTTGAGGAGGGGATGGATGTCCATGGCTGTCTTATGTACAGTGTCCTGGCGCCCAGGTGCAGTTATCCCTCACCCAGGCGCAGGTTTACAGCTTGCAAACTGACCATCGTAAAAACACATTTGTCTTTCACAGGAGGGTTTTCGAGTCAGAATCAAAGCTTGATTTCTTAAGATCATTGTGAGTGCATTTGTTAATAATAGTTTACTGGGCATTATGTTTGTGTTTTTGAAGCGAATTTCCTTCTCATCTCAGCTGCTTTGCTTCTGCTCCTGTTTCGGAGTGGTCACAGAGCTCATGAACTCAACTCTTTTGAGATAAAGTGACTCTGAAAGCCACACCCTGGTTGCAAATAGGCTTTCCAACCATTAGGCTTTTAACAGCACAAGGCTCGTCCAAACGCAGCCCCTGAGATGTCTGTAGTGTGGACGTGGTTCTGACCTGACACCATCAGCACCAGGTCCCTCGTTCTATATACCCACCACTATTGGGCTGCAAAGGCTCTGCTCGTGCGGTCGTTTGCATTGCCTTTTTCCTTTTTCTTTTTTCCCTCTTCCTTTTTCTTTTTTTTTTTGAGTGTTTTTATGTGTATTTTTCCACTGCTTGTGTTACTGTTTAGACCGTAACACCTTTATGTAAGGGTTTTTGTGCTGTGCTTAGCACAGCAGTGTCCTCCTTGTATTTGGGTTTTTCAAGTTCGTCATAGCAAATATGTATACAGGACTTGAGAAGATAACCTCCTGCTTTCTGATTTGGATTTTGAGAAAGAAGATGCTTTTCGAGTTCAACTATTTGTGCAGATAAACTGTGAAAGCAGAAGCCCACTACAAGCCTACAGGAAGTAGCGAAGGAGGTTCCTATTTTGTCCTCAGTAGTTGCTGTGAAGAGGGGACTTCTGCCCCATTGCTGTGCCTCACCTTTCCTCTGCTTTTCTTTCCTCCTTATCACAAAGGTAATTCTGAATGTAACAACGTTTGAGAAAGTGGAAGGAAACCACCTTTATTAGAGAAATACCGAGATCAATAACTAACTCATTCACAGTCATTTAGGAAATGTACAGACCTGCATGTCTGGGTGTCCTAAATTCTGCTGAATGACACTTCTTTTTTTTTTTTTTTCAGTGAACCCTAATCCATTAATTGTAAAAATTAGTCAGAAGTGATTCTTGCTCATAGTTTTGGCTCCATGAAAAATGAAAGCTTAACCTTTCAAGAGACGCACGTAAAGTGGTTTTACGAGGATCTACCCTGTCAGGCAGTCAGTGTTGATGCTAATTAGGGAATTTCCTAATTCCTTTTGCAAAGATTGGCCCTGTTATTTGAAACCTTCTTCCGCTTCCTCTACTTCCTCCACTCCTACAAATTTTCCAAACAAGAAAAGTTGCATACAGGGTTTGTTAAAAGCATTTAGACCTTTTCCTTTTTTTTTTTTTTTTTGTATCATGGAACAGCAACTTTGAAGATATGACTGTAATATACAGAAAAGGTAAAACATTTTTTGCATTAAATGTTAAACTGCTCTGTGGTTAGAAATCGTGTACACTATTTTAATAACAAAATGTTGAATAGATAAGTAATAGAGGTAAAAGAGGTGGAGGGTGGAACAAAAACTCTGGCAAAGGAGGTTGAGGTTAAGGCAAATGTTTTATTAAAACAGTTGAAATTATAAATTTAGGTTCTCTTGTTTAGTGAAAAACACAGCTTTTGCATTTTTGACGTAATTTGTAAAGAAAAAGGGCGCTCTGATGTTTTTAGAATGCTCTTTTAGACAGTCCTTTGGCCTGCTGTCTGATCGAGTTACTTCCCATTTGTTTCATCCTCATGGAAGGCAGTGATAGCATGAAGACCCTCTGAACTGGGGCAGATAATAGTATCTTGGGACATTCTGTCACATCTTCATGGTAGGAGTAGTGGGTAGTATGCACGCCCTTCCCTGGAGGACTCCTGTGCTGCTCAGCCCAAAAGCTGCGCTCAGCTTGAACAATGTCTAGTTCAAACAGTGGTTTTCCAGTGGGTTTCAAGGACTATGTGGTAACAGGAAGAGTGAGAGTGAAGAATCCTAGGTTTCCTTCCAAAGTCCTTTGCTGCTTCATGAAAACTCCTCGCACAAGGGTGGTTTCTTGGATGTGCTCCATTTCCTGAGGACTGACCCCAAGTTCTGATGCGCAGAACTTACGGCTCGAAGTATTGGCGAGTCTGGTCTGCACAGCATATACATAGTTAAAAAAAGTGACCTCATCACGTCTCACGTCAGTAGGCTGCTTACCTGATGTAGCTGGATGCTCTGACCTAAATCAATCTACTTGACAGTTTTGCACTATAAAATGGAAATGTTACCAAAATCAGAGCTTCCTGAGACCTTCTGAAGGGAATTCCGTGAAGTACTCCCATACTTACCGAGGATGTGAGAGCTGAACAGGATTGCCTTTGTCTTTAGAGCAGTCTTGGCTTTGTCTGATGTTATGTAATGAGCAGTAAATGTCTTGTGCCTGTCGGGAGCAGGGAGCTCAGGACAGTCTGCACGGCTGCGGGGTTCTCGGCCAGCATAAATGCACCGAAGCCTCTTTAAGTCTCCTCAGGTTTGCCATCTTGACATCTAAGCATTGGCATGGCAACACAAGTGAGGTCTTCCTCATGGGCTCATGTTCATGTAAGTGCCCCTGTTCCTTCCTATGGCATTAAGTTACATTCTGCTAAGCACCCTTACATGGAAATGAGTGTCACTACTAAGGTTTTTAGAAGTTCTGTTGGTAAGAAATTACACTCCAAGCCAATAAAACCATTTCCAGCAGGATTTTGCAGTGTCTGCTTTTTCGTGGTGCTGTATTCTCACATGTTTGCAGTTTCTGAGAACTTTTTGTGGTGTTTGTGTAATCCCCACCCTCTTTGGTGCGTTTCCAGCCCTCCTGCCCGGCGTCAGAGAGCACGGAGGGAGCGCCTGTCACGACACAGCTCCGCCAGCCAGGATGAGAACTTCCACCACATGCCCTACGGGCCAGCAGCAGCAGCGGCAGAGGAGCCGCGGGCCTTCCCCGCGCCCAGCGTGCCCGCGCGCATGCTGCACACGGCCGCCCAGAGCGCCATGCTGCTGGACATCCATGAGCAGGTCGGGCGTTACAGACGTGGTGCATGTTTTGATTGGCATGAGGAGTACCTTCTGTAAAGGTTCTAAGTACCAAAATGCATTATTTTAGGTAGAATCGTGTTGCTTGTAGTGGAACGTCTGCTTAGTTGCAGAACTCGTGACAGCAATTTCTCATCACTGCATCAGCCAGCCTAACCTCAATGAATTCAGACTGAAATGGGGTGAAAACATGAGCTCTCCACTTAGTCCAGAAAATAAAGTTAGATCTCCTCTGAAAGAGGTGCTGACAGAGAGTTCCTCGCAGTGGAGGACCCAGCTACAGCGCAGCCCATGAGGAGATGCTTCTTCTTTCAGCTTCCCATTCGGATGAGCAGTTGTGTTAGGGCAGCATCTTCAAAAGACAAGTTGTGGCCTTGCTTTGTGTGGTAACGTTACACCGTGACAGTGATAAGTCCAGATGAAAACCATGGCACTGCCTTTATCTTCCAGGCACCATCTTGCTTCAGATGTCAGTGTTTCCAAACTCGCTGATGTCTTCCATGGTGGTGGTGTCTATAGGCTAATTCTGGGAAGAAAGAACTATAAGAGGTCAGTTTTTCCCTCTGTATCCTGTAAGAGCCTGAATCGCATCCAGCATTGCACTGGATGTCCAACTTCTGTTGCAAGAAAGTCCCTGATAAACCTCTGACAAATAATCTGCTTTTGTTCCTGAGACAAAGCTAGGTCAAAGTCAGTGTGTCTCCTCAGAGTGAGGCCTGTCGCTTGAGGTTGGGGTTGCAAGCCCAGTGATCCCTGTTCCAGTTTGGGCCAGGTCTGTTGGCTGGTTCAAGAGGTCAGCAGTCTTTCATTTACTTGTTTCCAGCGTTGTAACAAGCTGCGATTGCTCATTCATTGCTCACAGGTGACTTCCCTTTTAGCAAATCATGAAGTAAGAAAGAGGTTTGAAGTAATTACTTCCTATGGATTTATGCTCCTATGACTCTATTTCGTTGCAGATATCATCAGATTTCATAGTTAATGTAAAAAAAAAAAATAAAAAAGCCAGTGTCTACACACATAACACCATCTACTTTTGGTTTCTGATTAAATTCCACAAAATATTGCTAACTATAAATCCATATGCCTGGGTGTCTTTTGTAGTATGTCCACAGACACATAATTTGATGCCGCAGAAACGTTTATATTAGCTCTCTTACCCAGCTTTCCAGCTGTCTTTCTGTTACAGTTAGGTTAAGAGACATCCTGTAAGTGTTGATATGAGCAGGAATCAGAGATTGGCCTCTTTGAAGGAAAGAAAAGATCTATAAAGCTACTGTTCTTTAAGATATGGGTTTGTGGCTTATCATTCAATTCATTTTCCTTCCAGAGTTGACTCTTTAACTACTTGTGGGCTTTTAGCTGCTTTATTGGCTTTTAATTATAGCCATCTTATTTTATAAGGACTAACCTCAGGGTGTGTGGGGGCCTCGCTGGTTTGAGATACTACTTGAATGCCAAGGCACCTTGAAGGCTTTAGCCTTTTAAGCTGAGAGGTCTCTCCAGGCCTTGCGCTGTGATCAGAGTAGTATTCCATGGAGAGGAATGTTTGAAGAACAGGAATTACAGGTAGGTGTACTTTGTGAATGTGTTTCTTTTTCTTGTAGGTGAAAGTTAATGTGGTGCGTCCACACCATAACCGTGTGCGGCTGCCAGGAGCTCACGCTGATTAACACCCTGTTCTTACTTCTGCAGATGCCCCCAGTGCCGGTATCGTACGCGGTGACAACGGTGGCGCCACACGGGATCCCGCTGTGCGCGGGGCAGCCCGTGCCTGCGTGCAGCGCGCCACCCATGCCGGGCTGCTCTGTGGTGCTCAGCGGGCAGCACCTGCCTGTGTGCAGCGCACCGACTCCCGTAAGTGCCGCCTATGGCTATGCCAGCTTCCATCCTGGGAAAACCTGCCTTTCCTGGGGTAAACTGCAGCCGTGTCCAACAGCCTAGGCCTTGGAGATGGCAACTGTGTGGCGCTTCCCTTGCATGCTATGACATCTTAGCCTGATGTGTTTTTTCATTCCAAATAAATGTTGGTTTATGATCTGGTCTCTTATCAGCAAATATCGCGGGCATTTTCAGATGTTTCAAGCTCATGAGGCAACTCACCTAGCAGTTTTACTGAGGAGAGGAGACCTTGCACAGGGATTGATTATATGTGGAGAAGATCAGTCAGAGTCAGCTCCAGAGTCAGCTGTGTTTTGTTTATTTGTTTGTTTGTTGTTCCTGAGAAGTGGTAAGATTGTGAAAAATCAGTAAAAGCTACATTATTTTCTGTTTGCAAATGCTCTCTCAAAATGAGTCAAAGTACTCTTTTTTTAAATGATGTTTTTCTTTGAGACATCAGTAAACTGACTTGAGTGGGAGCTTATCAAATTAATTTGGAAGGATTTGAACTCCTTCTCCATAAGTTTTCACATGTCTCCTGGGAAGTGCTGATTTCCAGTTGCATCCTCGCAGATGGACATCCGGTGGAGATTCCATCAGCAAGTGCTCACAGGCATCAGGAGTCCGGAGGGGAACTGTCCACACAGGAGTGTTCAGCTGTGCAACATGAAGGCTGCAGAACACCCGTGAGGAGCTGCAACTGCTCCTCCATTTCTAGCACAAGTCTGTAATACAATACAAAAGTTATATATGACGCCTGGTAGCTCTTTATAATGCTGGTAGTTATTCCCACTGGGTTAATACCCCAGTTAATACCCCAGACAGTCGCTTATGGGGTGTGCATACATGCACACGTCTTGGCTGCCTGGCTGCTTGCTAGCAGTGTGTGATTGTGCCTTTCCTGTGTTCCTGCTAAGTGTATGTTTGTGACCGAAGGCCATGAACAAACCTGTGTCAGTGGGAAAAACTCTTGATGTGGATTCCTGTTCCGTCATTCACGCTGCTGGTACCAGCCTGACCAGCCCTGGTGCAGAAGCTGAGCTGAGGAGGAACATTCGTGCTGTCCATGTTCAGGCTGCCAGACGGACCGAAGCACCCAGTGTCTCCCCTTGCCTTCCACAGCAGTCAATGTGTATCCCTGGGGCAGGATGGGAGAGAACGTCTTCTTCTAATTACTATTTCTGTGTGAAGAACAGAGTGTTTCTGCTCCTTGTTGTCGTTCTGTGACAAAGAGTGGCCTCGAACCACGTGCATTGGGAGCAGAGCTGGCACAGCAGCTTCATCAAAGCAAAAGTGCAATATCAGTGCAAGAAACACTAAGCAACAACTTTGAAAGAAGTCTTCTCAAGCTGTATGTTGGGCTCGAAGGAAATCCAAACATCAGATTGTAAGGGCTGATAGTCTCTTGCAGAGACTCTAACTCTGCAGTTTGTAAATATTTCAAAATTCAGCAGTGCAACTTTCCTTTTAACATACACATGAATGAATTTGGGTTAGTTGTATTTAACCAGGCTCACTGAGAGGCTCACTAAGAGAATGGGTGCAGTGGTCGCTGCTCAGAGAACAGACAGTTCTCCAGGATAGAAGTTTCACAACCCCTCTGAGCCCGTGCTCCAGCATTCCACCCCTTCTCTGGTGAAATTCCTTGTTCTGTGTGGCTGGAAATCCCCTGATGGAGCTTGCTCTCTTTGCTGGTTGTCCTTGCTCTGCTTGCTCCCAGAAGAGACCAGTTCTGCACACACCTGCTGAAGACAGATGCTCACGTCCTGGCTTAGTCTTCTTCTACTGAGGCTGAATAAACACAGTTGCTTTTTGTGTGCTTTCTATACCAACGTCATCGCTGACGCGGTGGCTTTTCATGCACCCATTTCAGTCTCAGAGTGTCTTTTTTTAGTACTGGGAAGCCCAAAACTGGGCTCAGATGCAGCCTCACAGGTACCCAGCAGAGGGGAAGGATGACGTTCTAGTTAACACTCTTAGTAATGTAGTGCAGTGCGCAGTGGGTCTTGATGAGTGCACGAGTACATTGCCGTCCCTGTTGTAACATAACAACAGAAAACAAGGGTAATTTGTTTCGGTTTAAATGAACTCTCACTATGATTATTCTCTCCTATCATCACATGCAGATGTATGGGGTGTAGAATATAATCTGCTTTTCAACGTAATTGATTAAGTGTGTATAAGGTCACTCTGAAGGACCATTGAAATAAGCAATTTTTTGTACTTTGTCATAGCACAGATCATTCCCGAACACTGTGACATTGGACCTGAAAATTCATCTTCAATTGGTTTCAATTTACTGAAATTCAGTTCACTTTATTATGATAAAAATATTGTAATTATTGAAACATTTAGCTTTTTTTTTTTTTAAGAAAATGGTGCATTTAAAAAGTACATATAGATCAGATTAATCTTCTGTTGTTTCAGAGCAGGTAAAGATTTATTGTAGGTCATGACCACAGTAAATGAGGTGGTGATTCCACTTTAACTCCATGAATGTGGTTTTAAACTATATCTGTTGTTGCTGTGCGATCATTACAGTCTGTATGCTCAGGATGTTGTGTAACGCCTGACTAAGAAGAACAATTGAGAGAGTAGCAGTGGGTCCTGTACATGACTTCACAAAGTTAGGCATGCTTCACAAGTGGAACGGTAAGGTTTTAGAAACGAAGATGACCATAATAATTATCTTCTTTTCACCTAAGACAAAGGTGGTGCTGGTTGTTTGGCAACTGACAAGTATACTCTTAGGTGCTCCTTTAATGGTCAAAAATGGGAGGGAGCACACCTGAGGACAGCTCAAGGAGCAGGAAAAAGGAAAGGCATTTCTTCTCTTTCCTCCTCTTGCAGAGCCAGAAGAAGAAATTAAGGATATGTCTGCGCCCCCTACACTGCCTTCACCACTCCACTAGTTCAAATTGCTTTTGCATGACAGATTTCAGGGAGGAGAGGGAGGAAAGGCTACTTCCTACAGTAGCTCTTGCTCACAATGCTGCCTTCCCAGCATGAAAGATATCTCGGAGCACTGAACTGAACAGAGCTTGTGAACTGTGTTTCAAAATGTTAGGCAACAGTGGGGGGCAGCAGCTACAAGTCCCTCGACTCCTCTAGAGCTTTAAAATTGCTGCAAAGCCATTGCCTTGGCTTGATACTTAGGAGGTAACGCATGAGAAGGGTAGAATTTACAAGAGTATGGGTATGGTTTTTGTTACTACTCCTTAAAAAAAGTCTATTTTGATTCCAGAAATTTTCATTCCAGCGGCAAAAATGAGTTTTGTTTTCATTTTTGTTTCAGATGCTTCAGGCATGTTCAGTCCAGCACCTACCAGTACCGTATGCAGCATTCCCACCCCTCATTTCTAGCGATCCATTCCTTTTGCACCCTCCTCATCTCTCTCCACATCATCCTCCTCACTTGCCAGCTCCAGGACAGTTTGTTCCTTTCCAAGCACAGCAGGCACGGTCGGTAAGTAATGCTTCTTACCCTCTCACCTTGGAATAGGTTGGGCTGGATGGGCAAATGCTGTATCCCTTTTCCTACCTCACTGAGGAGATAAATGAGTTTTGTTGGAAGGAATCTTTTTTTTTTTTTGTGCTGATGCTTTCTAAGCAAACCTGTAACCACCTGTAAAGATAAGGAATTAATAATTTTTAAATTCACTCTGATTCTCCTGGGTTTTCATCAGTGCTGTCAGTGCTGTTTCTCCATAGGCTTGTACGGCAAAGATTTGTGTTTGTTTTACTTTAGTGTTCCTTCAGATGCTGCCTTTCCAGAAAGAGGAGAATCCAGAAGAGACTGTGTAGTGCACCAGTGGTCTTGGAGAAAAGCTTAGCAGGGAAATGTGAAAACACAGAATGTTACTCTCATTATGGGCTCTTACTGCTTTACTTCCAAGTTGCTCTTTAAATGACCAGGGTTTTCCTTGGAACAGTAAAGTATTCTGGCTTCAGGTCTTCCAGAAACCTTCATAAACGAAGAATATCTCCCTTCCTCCTGTTTTTCACTTGTGAAGATTGACTGCTTTAATTTCCGCTGACTGGCTGAAAAGTACATGGCCTAACATTAAAGACCATGAAACCACAGCTTTCAATCTGAGGGGAGAAGTTAGGTTTCTGCCCCACTTCTGTGGCTGTGGGGTTATCTGTACGCTCATGTCCACCTGTTTGTCTGTCTTACCAGAACATGCTGGCAGTGCTTGTCCTGCTGCAGGCCAGGGTGCTGCTGGCCTTGGCCTTGAGGCCATGCTGCGGCCTGAGGGCCAGCTTGGCCCCCTAGCACCTCGCTTCTTGTTTGTCTGTGAGGGGTGTTAGGAGAGACAGTGTTGCAAGCCCTGCTGAAGCCAAGGTAGGCAACCTCCACTGCTCCCTGCTTGTCTAGCCCACCGTTCGTCCTTGCACAGAAGGCTGCCAGGTTGGCAAAGGGGGATTGCCCCATGGTGACTCCGCAGTGCCTACACCAGCTCCATGTTCTTGCAGATGATGTCCACAATGAGTTGTTCAGTTGTCTTTCCAGGAATAGAGCTGAGGCTGGAGTGGTGCTTAGTTAGTTTCCTGTGTCATCCCTATTGCCCTTTGTAAAGACTGGAGTCACACTGGCTTTCATCCAGTCCTCAGGCACCTCTTCTGATCTCTGACACCTTTCAGAGGAAAGAGCCCTAGTTCCCTCAGCGCACGTGGGAGCATCCCACTGGGGCCAGGGATTTGTGTGCGAGTCAAGTTTGCCTAAATGATCTCTAAGCCAGTCCTTGACCAAGAGAAATCTCTTTCATTTTCCAGACTCTTTCTTGTTTTCGGAGTCTGAGATCCCAGAGGGCTGGCGTTAGCAGTAAAGACTGAAGCAAAGAATGTGTTTTGTAACTCTGCCTTCTCTGTATCCTTTGTCACGAGGACACCTATCCTGTTCAATAGCAGACCTGCATTTTGCCTAATCATCCTTTTGCTGCTGATACATTGGAAGAAGTCATTTTTGTTGTCCTTGACATCCTTTGCCAGATTTGATTCCAGACGGGCCTTAGCCTTCCTCCTCAGATCCCTGCATGCTCTGGCACATTCCTATATTCATCCCAAGTAGCATGTCCATTTCTCCACACCTCTATACTTCATTCTTCTGCTTTGGGATTTTGCCAGGAGCGCTTTGCTCATTCGTGAGGGTCTCCTACCTGCTTTGCTTGACTTCTTACTCATAGGAATGCACTGATCTTGAGTTTGGAGAAAGTGATCCTTGAATATTAACCATCTTTCCTGCTTCTTTTTATGCCCCTAGCCCATGGAATTTTTCCAGACACATTCCTGAGGGGGCCGAAGTTTCCTGCCCTCAAGTCCTGTGTTGAAATCATGCTCACCCTGCTTTCTCCTGGCCGCATCACTGCAGCTAAGGTTGCCCCCAACCTCCACATGCCCAACTGGCTTTCTGTGTTTGTTGTTGCAAGGTCCAGGGCACAGATCTCCCTGTTGGCTCCTCCACCCCTTGTCCACAGTTACCCTCATGCCCTGCCGGAGCTCCTGGCACTGTCTGTGCCAGTCCCTGCTGTCTTTCCAGCAGATAACCACGGGTCTCTGTGCAGCCAGTGCCCATGCCCATGAGGCTGCTTCCAGCTGTCTGTAGAGGGCCCAGGGGACAACATCTTCCTGATCAGGTGGCTTGTGGTGAACACCCATAACAATATCCCCCATGTTTTGGGCCACTCCGTAATCCCCACCCAGAAGCTCCTGGCTCCTCTATTATCCACCCCTAGGTAGAGCCAGTTGCTCTGTCACAACTCCGCCGCCTCACTTTCCTGTGATGCTTTTCCTACACAGAGCCATCCTTGGCAGCACACAGGCTATCCGATCTGTGCCCCCATGTCCCTGTAGCTGCCGTGAGATTGTGGCCCTGCGACTGCCCACAGATCTCTTACTCTTCTTGTTTATTCCCTGCGCTGTGTGGGGAATAGCAGAGTGCAGAAAGCTATTTATAAATAGCAGAAAGCTATAAAGTTATAAAAAGCGAATATAAATAGCAGAAATATATAAATAGCAGAAAGTTATTTATAAATTCCTCATAAACTCCAGAAAACAGATAAACCAGGAACCCACCAATTCTTCTGCTTTTGATGGGACCACTGAAGGAGGAAAATGGGGTTAATTTTTGTTTATTATGTAAATGCTGAGTTCTTTCCTAAGAAACTTTTTGATTTCCTGTTGCGTTTTATGGATCATTCTCATTTATGGTTGATGACAATGATCTAGAACTCTTTTCTTCAGCTTAAGAGCTCTTTATTATTGTTATTATTATTATGCAGGTTAGCCATTGATTCCTTGCATATGCTATCTGATAAACTAGATAATAAATGCTTGAGTTCCTGCAGTGGTTTACTTTAAAGACTACTTTACCTGCCCTATCTTGTCAGAGTTGCAGCATCCTTAATGACTGAGAGATATTAGGAGAGAAGATTGAGGCGAGGGTTAGATCCGTGCAGAATTTGGGTGTATTTTGAGGCCCTGACGGATTTATTGCAATTGACTGTCTCACAGGACTAAGCTGGAAACCCGTGCTTCTGAAACCTCTGGACTGTCCTTGGTGGGACAAGCAGCTGCCTCATTATTGAGTATCATGATCCGTTCAGTACCGCTGAAATAGCCATGTCTGCCATCCATGTTACTTGCAAATTATATGGCAAAATCTTATGTCTCTTTTTAGCCGTTGCACTGGCCAGCGAGATAGAAAAAAAAAAAAAAAGTATTTTCTAAAAAGGTCTTTGGATCATTTTTTGCCTTTCACATAGTTTCACAGAGACAGCAGTCTGGCAAGAAAGAGAGCAATATTTGTCCTAAAAAAAAACGCAACACCCAGGAAATTACAGCCCCTCTTGTATCTGTTAGATTACATAAATTCCTAGTCTACAGCTGCAACTATTTGCTGTGGTAGCATTAGTGATGCAGAGTTTTCCTGGTGTTACTGTGTGGAAAAGATATACCCTGTGACAGTGCAAACACATTGTACTCTGTAAAACTGACCAGAAACTATACAGTGGCAGTTCTTCAGTGGGGGCAATTGCATCTGTATTAATGCAACAAAGCCTGTGTTTCTTTTAGCCACTTCAAAGAATAGAAAATGAAGTAGAGCTACTTGGAGAACATCTTCCTGTAGGAGGTTTCACATACCCTCCCTCAGGCCATCCACCAACATTGCCTCCCTCAGCTCCTCTCCAATTCTTAGCCCATGATCCTATACACCAGGAGGTGTCATTTGGTGTGGTAAGTATTGCCTTCCTCAGTACATTCTCATTCATGCTGAGTTAACATTCTCAATCTTTATTCTGTAGCATATTTTGTTGGAAAGTGGCACTTCTTGCAGTTGGATTTTCGTTAGTGACAACAGCTGTGTGCTTTATATTTTCCATAAGTTCATTTTAATTAAGCTAAGGGCAGCTTGCTTAGTGACATCAGTCAATGACTTCTGATCACGCTATTTGTGGTGTGGGCAATAGCAGTTGCTGGGAGATTATTCGTCTGTGTTGCCACACGGTCCAGTACTTGTGCTGCAGAAACTAGTAAGTGTAGTTCAGAAAATGTAGTTTCACTTGGGTTTCTGCTAATTCTTCCTGAAGTGTGTTGAATTTCCACGGGTCAGGAGAGTGCTTTAAAACTACAGTGCTTTAAAAACAATAGTTTTTCGGAGTGTTTGCAAGGAGCCTTAGAATGCCTCTATGCTGCAGATGATGTGGTAGTACAGAGGCCTTAAGGACCTGCGAAAGACTTGACGGAGGAGCCACAAGTCACAGCTAGGTTCTGATTTTTTTGTTTTGTTTTGTTTAGCTGCGTGTTGTCATCTTGACAAATGCTTTTAGTGGCCCATTGTCTCTCAAAAATTTTTATTGAGAAACAAATTTTAGGCTCTGTGGCTTCAAGGATATACAGGTATTTTGCTTTAATCTGTTTGAAATAATGCAGCCTATCTCTGAATGAAATTAAACAGTTGCTGTATAAAGCATAAAGCTCCACATTTTCAAAAAAATTACTGAGTTCAGTGTTAAGCTAGAAGTATGCAGATATTAAAGATTTTGCAGTTCTACAGAGCTTTAGGTGCACTTCAAAACATTCCATAAATTGCTTGTATTCGATTTGTGTGCTTGATAGAGAAATTGCAATTAAGCAATTCTCCTGGCTGGAGATCTTCTTCATTCCAAATTCAGATTTTAAAAGTAAATAGAGAACAAAATACCACTTTTTTGGGTTTGCAGGTTATGCAATGCCTGTGCTCTCCGATGCTTGGTTTCTGGGCTGTGCGTGACCGACGGAGGGGCAGAGTAGAGGTATTTTATGAGTCATCCCATGGCCGTTTAAAAAGCAAATCCTCAATCTGCAGTGACTCGAAATGGTTTTCAGCAAAGTTTGGTTGTATTTGCTTTATAATGAAATTATTATGGAATGGTTGCATTTCTGACTCTCCTTTGTTCAGAGTCTCTAAAGAAGTGAAAACAGGACCTGAAAGTCGTAGACCTAAAAGTGAGAACAGTGCTTTCTAGTGCTTTTGTTTAGAATACAAATTTCACAAAGCAATAAAGTTGATATTTACTGTGTATGGTTTGAGATCTTTCAAGAAAAAGACCATGGTTGTTTTACATTGTGGTTATTTTACTGTGTAAATTTTATGTATGTTTGTGGCTGTCTGTTAATAATGTTTCTGTCGTTAAGTCAGTTTTTTCAGGTTAATCTTCTGTTTTGTTGAGTTTCTCTGTGTTCCGAAGTCTCAAACATGGGAAGAGAAAAACATGCTAATAAAACACTGGAATGTTTTTCCTTTCAAAAAAAAAAGAAACCTTAAGATTTTTGAATATGAATTCAATAGCAATATGAATTTCAGCTGTGAAAATCTCCTTAAAAATTGCTACTTTGAATATTTCTGGAAAAATGTGATTCGCATTGAAGCGGATTTCTTTTCTTTTAACTGCACGTGCGTCCTTCCCCGCAGTCCTACCCGCCGTTCCTGCCGCGACGGCTCCCGGGCCGCAGCCGCCTCCGCTCGCCGCCCCCAGCACCGCCCC